AAGTACCCTTAACATGTATTTTTGAACTCTTTGGAGGCTCATAGTTAATGTTGGATTAGCTGACTGTCGGTCGAATAATATGTTCAGATTGTTCAGATCTATTTATTTATATTTAAGGTATTTCCATGTCATCCTACGGTTCAGGATTTTAATGCAGGTTGATTGCAGAAATGTTTCGAGGTCTAGATTGGCCGGAGGATAAGTTTCACGTCTTAAATGATAATATGGTGAGACTTCGGGGCTTAATTACATGCGCCACTTGGTCAGCCAAGCAGCTGACTTTTCAACAGTCTAGTCGCTTTAAGGTCACAATTACATTTGAGGGAGGCCGCAGCTTTCTAGTGTCTGGGCTACTTTACTAGTAGATGTTATAGAGAATCGGACCAAGTACAGAGTCCTGGGGTACTCCAGCTCTGCAGCTAAAAAGAGAAGATTTAGTCACCGAGTTTCATTTAAAACTGTCTGTCACTGAGATAAAAATCCATCAGCAGGTAGTAGAAGTGTGCTGGAATATACTTTTTAATTTCATAGAGTAGTCCTTTAGATGATTTAGCTGAAGCCGCAGCGAAAACAGACGTACAGGATTCTTTCTTTTCCAAACATTATACTGATTAATTATGGTTGGTATGGTTTCTGCCAAAATTTATGGTCGGGTATACTATATTACATGGGTCATACTTAGGCAAGGGAATAAACGAACAAGAATGATCCTTTTCCATAATTTTAACAATACAAATGTCAGATTAATTGAGCGATAGGAGAATTCGTTAGGGGACTTGCCAGTCTTATGGATCATTTCCATTCCAAAGTTGAGAAACTTGCGAGGTTCTCACTCAGTGTGGTCATTGTCAAGACCATGGACTTCATGGTGATCAGATCAAATGCAAGCTTTACGAGGGTCCATTTTGGCTATTTCTTTAGCTTAGCCATCTCTCTTAGCGTTAGTTCTTTCGTTTTAGCCGAAAGACGTCCTGCGCTGCTCGCAGGTACTTCCTCCGACCTTCCCCAAATCGTTGGTCCACCTAGTGGGAGGCCTGCCCACGCTACGTCTTCCGGCTCGTGGTCGCCACTCAAGAACTTTACTGCCCCAGCGGCCATCAGCTCTACGAGATATGTGCCCCGCCCACTGCCACTTGATTTTAGCGATTCTGCGGTCTATGCCAGTCACTTTGTCCTCCTGCGTCTTTCGTCCTCACTAAGCGTAATAGGAATCAATCTTCTACTTTGAACTTGAGGAGGGTAAGCGGAAATATGGAGGTCAACTCCTCAGATAGTCAGGTACAAAGATGTCCAGAAGCAGCATACGAAAAGATGCAAAATGGGCCCTCTCAAATCATAATGGGAAGGTTTGGCAGCACAGCACCTAGAATGGCGAGAGATTGTGTAGAGGCAAGTCCGCGAGTTCAAGGAGCAGCACACAACTGAACTCGACGCAAAACGCGATGATGTAAATCTCGTCGATCTGCCGCCATTCACTATAATTATGTTGGCGCCGGGCTTAGATACTTTCAATGTGCGAGGAGTTTGCCGCGAAGATCGGCTATGTAAGTCATCTTCAGGCACACAAGCGCCGGTAAGACAGCTAAGTTGAAGTGGTCACCATGACCGAAATCGGTCGGATGAATCATCATCATCAGTAGAAATCAAAGGCAGGCATAGCTGTAAGTCTCGGATCAAGTCCAATGCTTGATCTTATTTTTTGGATTGAATTGTGTATTTTTTGGATTATCCGTATCAATGGGTTTAAACTTTAAATAAACCGGCTTGTCATGTAGCAAAGGTCTGAGATTTTTCTTTTCAGTTCGCACTCATGTATTACCGGACCTATTAAGCGGAGAACACTTTGAGGGAGGTACTTTGTTGCCTTCCAGAGGTTGTGGTTCCCATTTGCATTCCGAGATATATTTGCCAATCTCTGTGTGAGTGATTCGCTCAAAGTATAGTCCAATAGTGTGGGTTGTCTGCCAGACAAAGGCGGGGATTTTTTTCTTGACAGCAAGAGGTACCGGCACCTCTCGCGATCAATTTTTACTAGAACAAGCAGCAACTTAATTAATTGATATAGTTAGTATTAAGTTATTTAATCAATTTATTAGTATATCAACGGCATTAAGCTCGCCTTGTGTACTAATTTATATGGCATTAAAGAATAATAATATTATAGTTAGTTATTCTGCCTTCGAAACACAAATTAGTACAGCATAGAAGAGGAATAAATTGCAAATAGTTGGTACAGTATCAGTATCGGCGCGCCGACAGCTGATCGTCGGCGGCGGCGGCGCGAAAAAATTCGCGGCGGCGGCGGCGCGCCGGCGTGGCGCCCACCTCTAACTTCAACTACACCTTTAGTTTGAAATACATTCGACATCAAATAAATCGCACCTCCCGCGACAAGCACTTTCAAACGTATGCATCCCCACTTCCCACCAATATTGGCACCATTTAAAAGCCTAGTTCTAAACTTCATTTCATTAAAGGAAAGGTTTTTATCCCAAAAATGTGTCTTTAGACGGATCCAGAGTCACTTCTTCAAAAAATAGGTACGCTTGAGCCAACTTTTATGGCTATAAAACTTTTAAGTTGGGATTAATCTTTATCCATCTGTTAAAGAGGACACGTGTGATCATTATTTGGTTTTATAACCATAAAATTTGGTCTAATTGATCCCAGAGCCCAAAGTGAGGTCTTTTTTCAAATCANGGCTATAAAACTTTTAAGTTGGGATTAATCTTTATCCATCTGTTAAAGAGGACACGTGTGATCATTATTTGGTTTTATAACCATAAAATTTGGTCTAATTGATCCCAGAGCCCAAAGTGAGGTCTTTTTTCAAATCACATTTATGGTATACTAGCTTTCCGCCCGCGGCTTCGCCCGCGTGGAATTTTGTCTGTCACAGAAAAACTTTATCGCGCGCGTCCCTGTTTCAAAAACCGGGATAAAAACTATCCTATGTTCTTTCCCGGGACTCAAACTATCTCTATGCCAAATTTCATCAAAATCGGTTGCGAGGTTTAAGCGGGAAAGCGTAACAGACAGACAGACAGACAGACAGACAGACAGACAGACAGACAGACAGACAGACAGACAGACAGACAGACAGACAGAGTTACTTTCGCATTTATAATATTAGTTGGGATGATAATCATTTATTTAGAAATTAAATGTGTTTTTCTTTAAGGATATTTATTGGGCTTTCAAATGACACCAATATTGTTGGGGCACCATGATTGTGTCAGAAGAAAATCTTTAAAGTTCGCGTCGCGGAAGGTGCGGTTTATTTGATGTTGAGTATAGTTTCTAAAAAAAACAAATTCTAGAGAAAAATTGTGCAGCATTTGCCAACTTAAAAATGATAACTTCAAAACAATAAATAACGTGAATCTATCTATCTAATTGGATGACTTACTATCACCTTCGTGACTACACTCGGGCTCGAACCCCAGACCTAGCACCCTAACGATGTTATCTGTAAACGTTGTTAAATATTGGCACGCGACTGGCCCGTGTTACATTAGAAACTCATTATGGATGGACGGCCTTTTTTTGAAATTTTATTACTTTTTTTTTATTTTGGTCCAGGACTTTTTTCGCTGTGACTTCTTTATAAGTGACCAGTCATGTACAATTTCAATATTAACACTGAAAAAAAAATCTAATTTATAGTTGTTTCATTCATAACTTTTTATTTCTTTTCTATACTGTAATTTAAGTAAAACTTAAGTTAGAAAAAGATAATGATTGTTATTGTTGAAAAAAATAATCCCAACTAATATTATAAATGCGAAAGTAACTCTGTCTGTCTGTCTGTCTGTCTGTCTGTCTGTCTGTCTGTCTGTCTGTCTGTCTGTTACGCTTTCCCGCTTAAACCTCGCAACCGATTTTGATGAAATTTGGCATAGAGATAGTTTGAGTCCCGGGAAAGAACATAGGATAGTTTTTATCCCGGTTTTTGAAACAGGGACGCGCGCGATAAAGTTTTTCTGTGACAGACAAAATTCCACGCGGGCGAAGCCGCGGGCGGAAAGCTAGTTAAAGCTAAGAATTGAAGTGTTAATAATCATTAGAAAATGCTTAAAAGATCCGTGTATTTAGATTAAGGCTAAGTTGTACCATCTTACGTCAACTTTAACAAACGTCAAAAATCTGTAATACTCCATACAAAAAACTCCGGTTGTTGTCGTAGTTACGGTTAAAATAAGTTGGTGAAACTCCGCCTAACCGTTTATTAATTTTAACTGTTTTTCTCTAACTAGCAATTTATGAAAAGTTTCAAGTATCTTTTCAGTCAGGTAAAAATAAAATGTACATAGTACGCAGAACTGACGGCCGTTGGGGCAGCAAAGTTCTGGAGTGGAGGCCGCGTACCGGAAAACGCAGCGTGAGACGTCCACCCACAAAGTGGACCAACGAAATCATAAAGGTAGCAGGAAGGCGCTGGACGCAGGCCGCTACCAACCGGGCAACATGGAAAGCATTGGGGGAGGCCTTTGTTCAGCAGTGGACGTCCTATGGCTGAGATGATGATGATGAAAAATAAAATGCAGTGTATATTGCATATTTCTTTTATTTCTCGCCTTATCCCAGCAGACTCATAATATTACAATGCATATGACGAAGATCATCCAACTACTATCAATAAATAACATTAATATTTAGAATTAAGCATTATTCATTTATTAGGCTAGCAATATTACAGAATTACATCGAAGCAACATGGCAACACATTTTTACAATCTATTGGTAGAACAGGCAACACTGAATTAAAATTATTTTATCGTCTTTGGTGTTCATATACTTTTTCGGTTAACGTTAAAAATATTTTGGTTTTGGTAACAATTTAATACTATGATATGAAAAAGAAACAAGCCTAAGTAACTTATAGAAATAAGTAAATATTGTTTTAGAGTATTAGGAAAAATACAAAATAGTAATTAATCTTTTACTATTTTATTGCTTTTATTGGGCAAACCGAGAAAAACTTTTTTCACATAACAAGAAATTCAAGTAAAATCTTTAAAGAAAGAAGCTATTAGTCAGTTCTTTTTAATAACTATGTACAAAATTATCTATATACTTACCACTGAATAAATACATGGAATCCGTAAAACATTCTTATTTACAAAACTATATACAACATGGAATGACGATGATTTTTGTACGTTACATTTATTTGAATTTAGATTATCCTCCATAGCTATTGTATTCTCTAATAAATAAATGTACTAGGTCGTTATCACTAGGCCTTAATTAACACTTAAATATAAATTACAAAAATTACAGTGCGACAAGTTTGAAAAAGCAATATTATTCTTATTTTTGCAACTCAAAACTCTTTTTTAAAAACAGAGATAAAGTTACGAACCAAACGTCAAGGAAGACACCACCTTATTTTTATTTTTCAAAAAAAGTTTGTAGTTCCATTTTCAAACATTTGAAAAGTCTGCTACTTGTCGCACCTCTTTGAACGATTAGCTTTTTGACACATCGACATGACTAGTCCGTTCTAAATTCAAATTCAAAATTGTCCGTCCGCACCGCTGTCGTTCCGGCGAGCGGCTTCAAGCGAACACTACACTAGACTGGACAGCGGCGCTCGGGAGGTGACTGGAGACGCTGGCAGCGGCTGCAGCTGCTGCGGGGCTTGGGGCTGGAAGTAGACTCCGGGTTCGTTCGAAAATTGCGGATGAATAGGTAATGGAGTGTGGGGCATAGACGTCGGTCGCGATTCGTGATATAAAATTGGGACTCGGACAAGTCGTTGCGCGGCGTGAGCCATGTTCGCCGCTTCTAATTCAGCAGCAAGTTGTCTTTTCCACTTGTTCCTTCTGTTCTGAAACCAGATTTTGACTTGTGTTTCTGTGAGATGCAAGCTGGCAGCTAGACCGGCCCGTTCTGAGCTGCTAAGATATCTCTTCATATCGAAAGTGGATTCGAGTTGGAACACTTGGGATCGGGAGAAGACCGTTCTGGTTTTTTTCTTTCTTTTGCCGAGGTTGGCGGTGTGGTCTCTTTTTTCGTCTTTGTCGAAGTCGTCGCTTTCGTCGACGTCGGGGTCGGAGTCTTGGGGGTCTTGTTGTTGCGGGTAGAGCGCGGGGTGGAGGCGAGGGGAGCGGGGGGACGAGCGGGAGGGGGAGGGGGGCGTGGGCGCCCGCGGGGGGCTGCGCGGGCGCGGGGAGCCTCCAGCTGAGCCTTCCTCGTTGGTTGTTGAATCCTCTGCAACAATAGAAAGGATTTTGTTAGAAAAAGTGTCAATATTTGACGTTGAAACCCTACCTATTTAACGGTCAGAAACTTTAGATTTGTTAAGTTGTCGCAAGTAGTAGTATTACTTAGAAAGATTTTTCATGTCGTATGTAAAACTTTCCAAAGTACTACTATTTTATTTAAGTTTCATGTCTCTTTCGAGGATAATTTAAGCTTGTTACTATCCGCTCTATTTTCTTTGAAATCTTAATTTTACCTTATTATGTATAAACATAACCCGTTACGTAAACATTTTACGAGTATTATGCTCGTAATATTAATAAATAAGCTAATTGCTTTATGTAACGAACGTGTGGTTTTAGCTTTATAAGCAAGGCCGTGTTTAGTCACCGAGCATTAGAATAAACCGAATTAAGCGGATTATGGCGTCGATCGGGATTCAGTTAATTTAATTCAGCAGCTTAATAGAAAACAGATTGAATTTGCTGGTTGATTTATAGTACAGTCAACAGCACACATGACTCTACAATTTGTTGAAAAATAGCCTTTTACAACTACAGAAGGCATCACAGTGTTTACATGGAAATAATAATAAATATGCGTCGTTTGTACAAGGGCAGCAGTGTGCGATTTTGCAACAAAACTGTGCAATCGGATGACTCCAGTTCTTCACACATATTTTGCTTCCAGTGGGACTCGAACCCACGACCTCTGCTGTATATAACATGCGCATATAAGCGCTTAGGGGTGGTTTCACTACAGTTGTCCAACACCTTTGATTTACCAGAAATAGTCCAGCAGTCGACATCCTACCAAATTTACTATCAAATAACAATAAAATCAACATCACGTGACTTCCTAGTCGAGTCCATGCATTATCACTGTTGTATTCTATTATTTTGATTTTCAAAATAAAAAGCAATAAAATCAGCGTCACGTGAATTCCTAGTGTCTAAATATCGCGCGACTTTCTTTCTCTAGGTATGTAATATTCGAGTCACTGTTGCGTTCCATTTTCAAGATCAATGAGCAACAAAATCAACGTCACGTGACTACCTAGTGTCTAAATGTCACGTGACTTCCTTTCTAGTTTGTGTAAAGCCACTGTTGTTCCATTTTCAAAATCAAAAAGCAACAAAATCAGCATCACGTGACTTCCTAGTGTCTAAATGGCACGTGACTTCCTTTCTAGTCTGTGTAAAGCCACTGTTGTTCCATTTTCAAAATCTAAAAGCAACAAATCAGCGTCACGTGACTACCTAGTGTCTAAATGTCACATGACTTCCTTTCTAAAGCCTTGTTCGTGAGCACGTAGGCACAAAATATAACAGAAGGTAAACTCATTTATGTAACTCGCTTTGCATACCTCTCTCGCTCGCACGCTCGGCCGTCGCGCTAGGGTTGTCTTGTCATGTGTTGCGTTTATTTCGTTATGATAGAAAAATGTAACTCTTAATACTATGCAAGAAAGACAATAACAGATATCCACGTATACTTATTTATATTTAGTACGTTATTATAGTAATAGTTTGCAAACAAATACACGAGAAGGAAGTAGTATTTAGTTGAGTGGTTGACACTATTATCCAACTAATATTATAAATGCGAAAGTTTGGATGTCTGGATGTTTGTTGCTCTTTCACGCGATCACTACTGAACGGATTTTGATGTAACTTTACAGTATTATTGTTTATAACCCTGAATAATATATAGGCTATAATTTATGACGATCTGTGACAAACTAAATTTCACGCGGGTGAAGCCGCGGGCAAAAGCTAGTTATCTAATAATTNATATCGATAGTTTAAATTAAGTTATAATAAAAATTTAAAAAAGTAACAAACAAAGATGTTTTAATAATTTAGTCTAAATATTTTACAAATAATATATACGTGCATAAATACTTAAATAAGCTTTATTTAAAGAAAACATATTTAATAACATTAAGTTGCAACTTCAAATGTTTGTCACGAAAAACATTATTTAAATTAGCAATAAATCGTGTAGCAAATTAAATTATAATCAATTTGCAGTTTTGATTTTGTTTGTTTCTCTTGACGCCATGTCGACATGTGCGTTTCTTACGAATGCGAGGCAACACTGGCTGCACGAAGCTAGCGTGGGGTGCGGTACCAGGTGCGCAGGGTACAAGGTGCTTCGACCTGGTTTCGCATTGTGAAGACATTTTATTACTTCCGTGCGGTACCAGGTCTAAAAACCTGGTATTAAGGTAGGTACATCATTGGATTCTATTTTAAGAATACATCATAGAAAAATATTCATCACTTTCCTACACCGGACCCAATTGAAGTTATGCCTTTCGCACGACAAGGAAGACTATAATTTTCTTAGCCGCACGGTAAGCGAGACGTGCACAAGGTCTATAGACCTGGTTTCGCACTCAACGTGTTAATGATGAGTTTAAGCAACCAAATACCGAACAATTAAAATACGACTTTTTCTGTTCACTCATTTTCGTCAATTGCGCAAAACAAAATAATATCACAGGCGGTTGACCGGCGCGTGACTCAAGCGAACCACAGGGAACGTGTGGCGAACGTCTGTCTGTCGCGCCACGTCGCGCTCGCATTCGTCCAAGACAGTCTTGCTCGAGCGGTGTCTATGTGTGCGTGGCTCGAGCGCGTTTAGTATGGAGTTTGTCTTCTGTTATATTTTGTGACGTAGGCTTGGGTTCATTGGACAAAATTCTAGATTCAGGCTAAAGTTTGTGTAAAGCCACTGTTGTTCCATTTTAAAAATCTAAAACCAACAAATCAGCGTCACGTCACTTCTCAAAGACGTGTCCGCGTTCATCAGCAAGCATCGGCAAAACAAATCACGGATTAGCATTCAGTTGGGCTCGTGTGAATTCGTCGCGATCCAATTACGCGTCGCGACGCCTGCCGTTGGGCAATTTGACGGATTCCTCTTTAAACTAATCCACGGATTAGTCCAATTACGTATCGGTATGTGACATTTGGTTGGACAGTTCGAGTTCGAAATAGTTGGATTAAACAATTTTGTGATAGACGTGTTTTGGTAAGCTCTATCTTGCAAACAATGTTGATTTGATATGAATTGATTCAATAAATGTTACGAAAATATCAAGGTAGAGTTTAGAATTTTCTAAAAAAAATCTGAGAAATAAAGTTACAACTCATCAAAAAGATCTCTGTGTTATTGTTAATAAATTAAATACCTACCTATCGGGTCTTTTTAATTTTCTAACATGAAAAAAATATTCTAATTTAAAGTAGTTAATTGTTTCACTTCGAAAATAATAAAAATAATACTGGCAATGCTCATGCAAGATTATGAAAAAAACTGTAAGCGATAGAAAAAAAGGAATAAATACCGTTCGATATTCAAAGTTGAATGGAACATGAGCTCAAACCGTGTCATCGATGCATTGCATGAATCACTACAATCAAAAGTTGCGTAATCTTTCCGAAGGACCTTACCCCTTTCGCCATAAAGCTCAATCTAGATTGCACTGATTTCATTTTCGAGTTCACGCGTGTCTAGTGGCCCAGTATAACTTGAGCTGGGGTGAAGTTTGGTTTGTTATGTATGGGAGGTCTAGTCGACTGGTCAGTCGTGTGATTCCAATTGATTTTAGAAGCCAAGTAGGTAATCCTTTGTTACTGCTCGTTTGCTGTTTACACAAACGCTTAGTAGATAAGTAGTTTAGAAGTTTGCACGAATATGCATTTTGTAATATATTGCGTAGCGCTTCGTTCGATTATATAAAAGGATTGGAGACACGAGTAACTTAAGTGCCTTGGCCTTCAGGCCCTAAGTAAGTGGTAAATGATCAAATACTTAATACCTGACACTTCTTGGAACTTGATATTATTGGATGATAAGTTCTTAAAACGCTTTTGAAGTAGGTTATAAAAACTAAGATGAGCAATAATATTAGGTACAGGACTTACAGCAAGAAAATCGCGACCAAAAAAATACTTCTAAAGTGACTAATAACAATAAGCGTTTGAGCGCAGTACAGGTAAATAGTTAAAAAAACAATCAATCATCGATGTAGTTCATCAATTATTGCGGTAACTCCAACTTAACAAAGTACTGGCTGAAGTCATTACATTTAAAAAAACAATGCCAAAAGGAAAACCGCATTCGAAAATTAAAAACGACTCCAAACTGGCAACACGTTTTGGCGCGAAGACACACGACATCCTTACAATGGGTCAGAGAGAGATGCATATACGTTTGACATTTCTGCGGTGCGCAGTGTTGCTACACGCGAATAATCGCGGGTGGATGGTAGAAAAGTATTGTTTGGTCGGTTTAGGCCGTGTGAAATGGCGTGCTCTTTGTTTGGAAAGATGGGTTTTGGAAAATTAAAACGGGGCTGGAGTGATGACGATTGCTTGTTTAGCCATGTGTGTTATGGCGAGGTGGGCAACGGGCTTTGTTCGGGTCCGTTGCACTGTGACGTAATGTTTTTCGACTGAGTTCAAGCGTGCTATTAATATTGAAGTTTAAGAAGTTAGAAGAATGCTTAATCAGTTATGACATTTTTGTCAGAGAAAGTGTGTGTATAGACTCTATATTTTGTTTATCTTAGAGTTAGAGCATTAGGCTTCCAATTAGATGCTTACGACTAGTTAATTGTACTAGAATATCTCAATCCCATCAAAAACAATACTTGTCAAAAAAACCAAGTCTCGCAACTCAGTTGTTCTACGATAAAAAGTTGTGAGATCCATGTAATACCAAGTCCAGGCCAGGAAATCTCTAACGTTTTACATAAATTATTGACTTGGCCATCGCACTAAATAATATTTTAATTTACACGTGTTTTCATGCGATGGCCAAGTCAATATATTTATGTAAAACGTTAAAGATTTCCTGGCCTGGACTTGGTATTACATGGATCTCACAACTTTTTACCGTAGAACAACTGAGTTGCGAGACTTGGTTTTTTTTGACAAGTATTGTTTTTGATGGGATCTCATTTCTTTTTGTATTTTGTAGACAGCAGTTATGTATCTAGAAAACTGGACCGAAATTGAAAAATTTTACTCGACTTGGCGGTTGCACTACCGTGCCCCCAAATATTTTAGTTTTTCCTTGATTCATACACCAAACACTACTTATATTCCAAATTTGAAGCTTCTAGGTCTGCTAGAAGTGCCTTAGAATTTTGATGATCGGTGAGTCAGTCAGTGAGTCAGTGAGTGACAAAATTAAGTAACTTTGACCCGTTATAATTCTTAAACTACTGGTTCAAATTGAATGAAATTTTAAATATACCGTGTCTTTACAATGCCTGCATAGCTAATGAAAATTCAGCCTTCTAGTTTTATCCACAACGAAGTTACAGGCGGTTGAAAATGGCCTGAATTGCTTCGAGAAAAGGATGGTACGGCCGTGCCACTTTTTTGCTCGACTTGGTGGGGGCACTGCCGTGCCCCCAGATAATTTAACAACTTAACGTAATGAAAATCAGGCCTTTGAATATGACCAAAACACAGCAAAGTTAAATTGAGTTCAGAGATTAGCTTAAGTTAGTGTAAATTAACTTCAATGACTTAACTATGACATCTATCGGCCATTTGAATGCTGGCTTTTAATGAAAGGCTTAGACTCCAAGAGAGGCAAAAAGTTTCTAAGTTCATGTTATTTCTTATGTTCTATTTTCAATTAACATTTTCCATCCCTCTACAGTGGCGCCATGTAACGTAATTTAAACGTTACAAAGCTCCAGTTTTCGCACCTAGATGAAAAAAAAGTTTCTGTTTTCAAACAACATCAATTCCGAAAAGTTCTATTTTCAAATGACAACAGTGGCGCCATCATAAACGCTCCAAAGCCAGCTCCAGCTCTAAGCTGTCGCACATAAATAAAAAAAACTTCTAAAGATGACCCACGCTGAACTGTCCCGCCAAACTCAATGACAGGGGGGCGCTACCATCGTTCAACTATATGGTTTCCAACATGGCAAAAATCGGAACCAGCGATCCGGTATTGACAGTGGCGCCCCACTGTCAATGTCATGCATAGGACAGTTCAGTATTTTGGAACTATAATTTTCAAATCACATCATTTTGAAATTGTTCTATTTTCAAATGTCATCCCACAGTCAGTGGCGCCATAGACACTCCAAAGCCCCATCTTTCGCGCTTAGCGCCGAAGCGCGAACCCGACACCGTCGAATCACGGTAACGCGAGCCGCGGCCATACCGGTGCGTAATCCTGCGACATGTGTTGCGTCCGATTCGATTCCGTAACGCGCGCGTAACTTTGTACAGGGTGTTTGAGAATACGCAGCTATAGGTACACACACAATACTTTTTGAAAGTATAAAGATTTTGGGGTATTAAAACAAATATTCGACAAAATGCCGCCGCTGGACTACCTATCCACTTGTGTCACAAGCTTACCGGTAGGCCTAGGATGCGTGCCTAGACACGCTATTTTATCGATTTGACTGATTTTTCAGTCAAAAGTGGTTTTGTCTCTTTCACAAAGTCACTTTTGACTGCAAACGATGTTTTTTATTATAGTTCTTGCAACTCACGAAGGCGAGTGAGCTTTACTTGTGTGCGTACGTGTACATGCACATAACGATAGTGTAATGTCTGTCAAAACTTTTGAAAAACGGAGCGAGCCACCACACATGTAAAGCTCACTCGCCTTCGTGAATGAGGGTTTTCGCAATTGAAAAATCCGCCAGATGGCAATACGTAGACGCGAGGTTCAAATGCTGCATGATTGGTGGATTTTGACATATCTGTCAATGTCATGTCAAAAATTCATTCATTCATTCATTCATTCAATTTCAATCGCGGAAACCCTCATTGCAACAACTATAATAATAATAACCTCCTTATTAACCCTCCTTTTGCTTTGCCGTAGTCGGGTAAAAATATTGTAATAATGTGTGTCTAAAGCCTGGTCCGTGAGCATGTAGAATCCTGTCCAGTGACCCCAAGCTGCCCATCCTTGTCGCTCGCACGTAATTATGTTGCTGTCGCGCTCGCTCACTCACTGCGGGCGCGCGTCGCACAGTCGCGACAGTAATATAATTACGCGCGAGCGATAAGGATGGGTAGCTTGGGGTCATTGGACAAAATTCTACGTGCTCACAGACCAGACCATAGTACCAAATTAACATCTTTCTTTCTACATACCTCTGGGGGGCGAGATTCTCTCCTGCGGCCGCTGCCAGTACCACGGCGCGGGAACCAAACCCCCGTACCGGCCGGCCAGCGCGCTCCACTGCGATATTAGGCCCAACCTGCAACAAAATATTTGGGTTGACTGGTGTTACAAGTTGGAGAGTTCCAGGTTTGGTGCCCGGAGAGGTCAAGAGTGGCATGGCGAGCGGATGTGTGTGGCAGATGTTTCGATAAGCATGCCAATTTTTAAAATAAATGGGCGCAAAGGATCACCGATTCTAACACCCGTATTCACAAACGATGCTTGCTTAAGTGAAGCAGCAATGCTATGCGAAGTCGTACGCATGGCACTCCGCCACTTAAGTGTTGTCTATGAATAGGTTTTTGGGATCCTGTGCGTCCACGCGCACTGTGATACCTCATAGGAATGTTTGTGAATACGGGTGTTTTATTCATTATCACACAAAACATCTTTAAGTGACAAGAACTTCATCATCATCATCATCATTTCAGTCACAGAACGTCCACTGCTGGACACAGGCCTCCTCTAATGAATTCCACATCGCTCGGTTGGTAGTGGCCTGCATCCAGTGCCTTCCTAAACTTAATTAAATTAAGAAAAAGTAAAAACTATTTTAGTAAAATCAGCTAAATAAATTATGCCTCATTATTATATAAATATTTAAATGTAACTCCTTAGGCCTCAGCCTCGAACTTAGCGGGCAGCGAAAACAGCGGCGCGGCAGCGGCGCCGGAGCGGGCAACGAGCGGGCAGGGGCGAGGGAGCGGGTAACGAGCGGGCAGCGCACTCCTTCTTTTGCCCACAATAAATCGAGCGTTAGGAATAAATTTGAATCGAAATAAAATTGTCGCCGTTGTTCAGACATTTCGTTTGCGAATAAAAACAAATATCTTGACAACACAACCCCGAACACAACACTTCGCCGCTAAAGCGCCGCGCGAGCTGCCCGCTTGTTTCGAGAACGGGTCTGCGTTGCCCGCCCCGCTCCCGCGCCGCCGCCGCCGCCGCCCCGCTGCCCGCTAAGTTCGAGGCTGAGGCCTTAAACCCAAAAGTGTCTTTCTTCCAAAGTGAGATATAAGATGGAGACGGATGAAATATGGAAACATTACTAGTTCAACCAAAAATAAACACCTTATAATTTTGTCCAAAATCCACCAATTGCAATCACAAAAACCAACTTTATCCAAACTCCGAAGTAGTGTTAGCCTAAGTGCACGATTTATACCCGAGCAGTCCCAGCAAAACAGTGATAAATCAATTTGTTGGGAAAAACAGGCTTTCATTTATTAGATCATCCTTAGATAATAAAACCAGCTCCATGACATGTGTAGTCATCCGAATTACTGCTCTATTCTCAGTTTGGCCGCAAAGTTGACTGGAGGAGAATGCCGAATAGCATTAAGTCCTCCTTTTGTACCGTGATTTATGTGCATGAAGGTTTTAAATAAATATGCTTGCAGATTGTAAAAAGTATACGAGTACTTGAAAGATGGTAACTACAGCTTATTTAAAAGTGTATTTAAAAGATTTGTAACTACAAAATATGAAAGCAGTCACACACGTCTTTTCATTTGTTCAAAAACCGCTCATTGCAATCACATAGACCAACTATATCCAAACTCCAAAGTAGTGTTAACCTAAGTGCACGATTTATATCCAAGCAGTCCCAACAAAACAGTGATAAATCAATTTGTTGGGAAAAACAGGCTTCCACACTTACCCCGATCGGTATCAATATCGATTGTTTGGCAAAGGGGATTGCAGCACTACGCTCTTGGGAGCGTCGCTTGTGGCTAGTGATGTGCTATCGATCGATAACGGACAGGTGACGGTAATTAAAAACATTTAACTAAGTTTTTATCTTCTATTCTTTCTAAATATAAAAGGAGAAACTGACTGACTTAGTGACATATCTACGCACAGCCTAAACGGCTTAACGTAAGCACTTGAAATTTGGAAGGGACGTAGCTTAGGTACCGCAGAGGTGCACTAAGAAAGGAATTCCCGAAATTCCCATTGGAACGGGAATTAGCGGGAAAATCCTTTTGTATGAAAAATCTAAACCGCTTAAGTTAGACGCTTGAAATTTGGCATGCAGGTATCTTAATAAACTTAAAGCTTAGTTACAACAGGATATTGCAAAATTCCCACGGGAACGGGAGTTAGCCGGAAAAAGCATTTGTATGAAAAAATGTAAACCGCGTAAGATAGGTGAAGGGGGTAAAACGGGATCCACGCGTACGAAGTCGCGGGCGGCCGCTAGTACATAATAAGGCAGGTATGTGACCGCAATCGCACCTGGTGTTAAGTGAGATGCAGTCTACGATGGTACATATCCTGCCTATTCACTCTCCTCCTGAAAAGGCCCGGATTATAAAGGTTTTGACACGAAATAAGTCGACTAGTTCAATCATCGTTGATCTATTGTGATGAGCCTACACCTATCACAACCATTACTTGAATGAATGAATTAGGATAATATTAGTAATTTTTTACACCAAAATTACTTAAAATAAACAAACTTTTTCTTAACAAAAATCATTTAAAACTTTTTAGATGATCGCTTACTACGAACGCCTACGAGTGTAGTCAGTCCGTAGCATCTGTAGCATCTTCGTAGACGATTCGTAGTCAAGCGCCTACGCAGTAAAATGCTACGACAGCGAGTTTTGTACATTTTAAAGGTGAGATCAATTGGCTTTAAATTTTTTCTTCGACGATATCCACTGCTGGACAAAGGCCTCTCCCCTAAGGATTTCCATAACGACCGGTCTAGATTTTCTGTTATTTCTCTAAAAAAATAAAACTATAAGTAATTGCTGCTGTCTTTCCCGAAGACTAGAATCCGGGCGTTTTCAAGGCGAGAGTGAATAGGCACTTGCAGGGCAGATATGTACCATCCTAGACTGCATCCCACTTAACATCAGGTGCGATTGTGGTCAAATACCTACCTGCCTTGTTATGCATAAAAAAAAAGTTAACTCAAGCTCTGCCTAGTTCCGGACTAGACTACTAGATTAATAACTGGTTAGAACTGTATTCTACGCCTAACTTACGAACTTCAACTAAAACATCAAGAATAAAAAGAACGAAGAGAAAGGTCAGTGCGTTGAAGTTGCTCATTTGAACAAACCACAAACGCGGTTGGAATTAAACTCGAAAATTCAAGCTCATTTAAATCCTCGATAAAACTATCGACATATCCCCGCCCTACCGCAGCCTATTCAGATAGAGGCACTATTTATTTTTATCGATACCCGAACAATGGCGGTTTCGCGGCGACAGCCGAAGCCGGGAGCGGAGCCAATGTATGCGATTGAGTGTTTTTTATTTAGCTAGTTGTTCGGGAGAGCTGGGAATAAATATTTGTGAGGCGGTTGAAGCAAAATGCGGGTAGTTTTGATTGTCTCAGTTACTTATTATTACGAGTTCGATTTCCACAGTCAAGCTAAGCCAACTGTATGTAACATATTTTTCAGGTTGAATATTTTGTATGTCTATCCTTGGGGAAGCTTCTATCGAGCAGTTTACGGCTTTCGGATGAATTTACTATCGATCTTATTCGATTTGTTCACAATAAATCTAAGTTGATTGTGTTTTCCTTTCGATTCTACTCGTTTCATATTTATTTCTTAAGTCGAAATAAAAATGGGTGTTGTAGGAACAAAATCATTCCGAAACTTCTTGTAGTAATATATGGACTGTAAAGCTGACAAGGTTAAAATAATTCGAATTGCTTTCTAATATTTGTGACTGACGACTACATTCAAATTTTAATCCGCCGACGGCTTTTGCCAAATCAGTAAATACTCGTACACAATATTCAGTCTAAAAATACTCCGTATTCACGTATCAAGACTTATGAAAACCACAAAAGATCCCAACAGAACTCATTCCACACAATTACATTGTTGCCAACTTAACAAAGAACGCACGACTCAAAAAGTTTAAACTCGGCATATCGCTAACCTCCTAATTACGCTTGAAGTAAAGGAAAATCGATATAAAAAGGCACCACCAATCTGCACTGGACGGTTAATCCCGTCGCGCAAATTTCCAAAACCAAATTCCATTACATGGCGCTTCTTCCTGAAAGGGAGGAAGCCACGTGATTGGTCGGCTCGCCGCGCTCTGATTGGTCGCCTCCTGACCCCGCCCCCCTGTGAGGGTATAAAAATCGATGCTCGCTCGTCGCTTCGTCTTTTTGCTGCGACGCGTCGGCGACACTTCTATTGCTAATAATGGCTGCGCTAAGTGTTTACTTGTATCCGTTGTTGTGCAAGCGACGCGGGAGCCTTTTGTTGGTCCAGATAGGGATAGCCGCTTAAAAGCATCTGGGAAGGCTTTGTCGTTATGACACTAGCCTCCTTAGCGGTACTATGGCGCGGGGAATTGTACGATCCGTTTTTAATGGACTGGTACAGCTGCACTCCGCTAAATGGGTTTAACTTGTACAGATATATTTCAATTGGGACCGGAACTGTTTTTATGTTACAGGGCGATGTCTGTAGAAATATAAAATGCATTCGAAACTTAACTTTTTCTTACAATTGATTTTTCTGTTGAAGGCCTCTGCAATTACATAGGTACATTTATTTTATAATAAGGTGCTAAGATGATAGATTGTGGTAAAATTAAAGGCAATGAAATTACTCCCTTCTATACTTATCAATACTTGATTATATTGTACTCCAAAATATAAGCGATACATTGATTTCCGTGTCTACTCGTAGTGGTTAAAAAGCTGTCGCCAATGAGGTGAAAGATCAATGGGTTCATCTCACCCCAAACAGTCAATTAATTCAAATAAATATCTATTGATGTTATTAACAGAATAAATTAGTTTTTAATTTACATCAGCCACAAATGTGGCTCGATGAAACCAACTATGTATATTGTTATTCCCTGCATGCGGTTACGTATCAGTATGATACTATCGCCCGTATTCACAAACGATGCTTGCTTACGCAGCAAATCGAACGCACAGCGCTGAATAGAGCTCTGTGATTGGTTCATGTGTCATTTTGTGCGCCCACGCGCACTGTGAGACCTCATAGTAATGTTTGTGGTCGTAAGTCAGTTCGTACCGTTGTATCG